AGGTGTGTAGCCGGTGGGATGAGCAGCGCCGCACTCTGACGGGGACTATAGGGCAGGACCTCTCGTTGCCGAGCGTGGTTGCCACAATGCTCGATGGTGAGGAGTCCTGGGAGGCGGTGGCCTCCTTTTGCACAGAGGTTATGTCGCAAAAGGAGGCCGCGGAGCGGGTGCGCGAGGACGCGGCGGACGCGCACCCGCTCCGGCGCAGACGTACGGGGAGAAGACGAAGGCAGTTCGCTGCTCGCCTGATCCCCTAGTGAGACCAGCAGGCTCTGGACAGGGACTCCGGAGCCTGCATTGCACGGCCTCACTCGTCTGGGGGGCGGGTCGGAGGACAATCGACTCGTCCCTCTGTTGGCGCGAGAGCCCTGGCGCAAGCTAGGGCGGCCGGGCGGCGTCGTGGTGAATGTTCACTGATCCCACGGCGCCGACTCAACCGGCGAGAAGGAAACCCGGGGTGGTTTTAGTGGGGTAGGCCTTCCAGTGTGGAGGGAGAGTCCCCACATAACCCCTGAGTCTCCCTGGGCTCAGGGGTATCCATAAAGATTTCCCCCGTCAAAAAAAAAAAAAGGGTGGAGTAAAGTACGTAAGTATTGTACCTATAAAATGGCTGTCGGAAAATTAATCTATTGTTCCGTGATCCGAACCTACTAAATGATTTAACTCTAACTACATGATTTAACCTCACTAGCCAAATTTTAAGCACTCGATTATGGTGACGATATGTAAGTCACGCAACTAAACTGATACCCTATTAAATAAACCAGCCCAGATCGAGTCGGAGTCATCGTGATACGGTACCGTAGCCGTTAAGTTTCGGCATAACTACGTTCCGTTTAAGCTTTGTTGTGTTTATGCGAAAAGCACTACGTTCTACAGCTCGCCTAATTTTGTGAGATCATTATCTTATTTTGGAATTTCCTCTAAGTTTTCTTTCCTCTAAGCTTGCAAACAATCTTCGTTACTAATATAAACGTATAAATTATCACTTACGGCACATTCTGAATTATTACAACGGTACTAGAAAATTTTGTCGACGGAACTCTAAATAGTATCTTTAACCCTTTTAGTAATACTGCCTCAGTGGCCTTATGACATTGACTCAGGGGAACAAATTATTTCTTGTAATAATTGTCAACAAAGTTTGTATTAACCAGTCAACAATCCAAAGTAACGGCAGTAACAAAAGAAAAGCTCCTAAAAACAGAAAAAATGGAGCGTAAAAATATAGAACAACTATGCGAGGACATGCTAAACGACGATTTTGTTCAACTATTTTACCCAATACATTCCGTACAGAGAATATTAGGGAGACTTCGAGTCAATATGAAATATAAATTTGTGACAGCTCCTTCGAGCATCTACAAGTGTTACAGTTGTTTGCTGTGTCTTTTATCTGTTTTGTGTTCTATTGATACGGTTCTCCACTGTTCGACCATTTTTGCGCCTAAGGCAACGGACTTTCTCTTAAAAGTGCTGGGGGCCAATCGCGCTATTTTCGCAAGGTTTAACCGTACAACATTTGAGGTTATGGTTTTGGTTAATTAATGGTTCTACCGACGCACAAAATGCAATCGCGCTATCAGTTTTAATGAACCTAAACCTCAGTTAAACCTCAAACTATAACCTCGTATTAAATTTTAAGAGACGTGCCTTGACTTCCTAAAACCGACTAAATTTTACCGTAAAACGCACTGAAATGTCAATATCTACGAATTCAAGTCTATAAAAGAGCGATTTAAAAAAGTGTGTAAAAGAAATGTCATTAAATTCTATTGTAAACAAACATATGTGTTGTGATTTGAACCAAATTAATTGAATTTAGTGTGTTGTTGTTGTAGATAAAACACGCAGAGGCAAGTACCTACACATTGTTTTCCTTTTTTAATATTCTATTTAATAAAATATTATCTTTTTATACAATCAAATAGGTACGCTAACTACTATTAATTTCGAAATGTTAGCAATGTAGAATTAATAATGATGCTCGTATTTCAGCCAGTGTGGATGCGGTCGGACGGCGAGCGACCACTGTAAGCCAGCTCCATCTTTGCTGGAGTTCGAATCGCACAGAGATTTGGCTTGAGAATGACTTCGCTCGGCGTTGTTCGCGCGTGTTATCAGCACGCCTATGGTACGAGTGTGTGGCTATTTTGTGGCCCCGCAATAGATCCCAAAAGGTGAGCTATAATGCGAGGTAATAGGATACAGTGAGTGGATCACTCACCGTTATTGTACCAGAACTCATATCACTATAATATGCGATGTTATTATTGTTATTCAGGTATGGAATGGTATGAAAAGCAGGGTGAGAATCTACGCCACATCGACTGCGGCAGAGGCCCTACCAACCTTCCTAAAGGACACCAACTCTAGCACAAAATAACTTCAAACATACAATTCAATAACAAAGTAACTTTCTCACTCTTTATTATTAATTAAAAAACAAAGTAACTTTCAATTCGAGCAAATTCTTTCCCACTCTTTATTCCATCACATCTATTATTTCGTTGACAGCGAGCTGATGAGCGTTGGAGCAGAGCCGGGTAGAATTCTTATGCATTGAGGAGCAGCGAGCATGCGAAGCATTCTTACAGCAAGTGAATGCTGGCAGGGTGCAGGCTGAGGCAGCTATTATTTCTGCCAAAGCAGATGATCTGCATGCCCAATCCGTAGCTGCCATTTGCAAAGCAATTACCGAGTTGGTGCCTGCAGTTAACCTTTTTGATAGACTATTTAACAAGAATGACAGGTTTGTTTTCAACATGTTTTCTTAATTCCTGCTGATGATATGTTCAATTGTGGAAATCTGAAAGAGCGTAAGGAACGAAGGTCTAATCTGTAGACTTTTGTCCCCTTTATATTTCCACAGTGATATAAACATTTTTTTAAATGTATTTTGAAAAGGCCCCTAAACATTCTGGCGTTTATGTTGGCTTCATACTGTATGTATATAAATACCCATCCTGCTTTATCTGTCACTACTCTCATTAGAGGTATGGCACAGTCTTAAATTTAGGTCTCCAATCTTCCTATATACATATTTTTGTTTCAGACTTCTTTGAAGAATCAAAAGCAAGCTCGCTCCGGAAATGAAGGATGATTTGGGGTAGATTGAGGCAATAAATAAACTAAAAATACACTCTTTTTTTTATTTCAACCTCTTAAAAGTATACATCAATTTAGATATTAAGATAATAAACAATTACAATAGGTATACATCGTCATCTTAGAATGAATACCTCATATTTCTATGTAATTTTTTAGGATGAAGATAAAAATATGGTGTGAAGTATAGTAAATGCAATAATGTGTGTAGTTAGCATTTTAATTACTTAAATTATACCTCTTTTAGATACTATATTATTACATTATTAATTTTTATTCAACAAAAATCAGTAAAAACAAACTGAAAATGCATATGTGAGGCTTCACTGTAAGGGGACAATATGTTGTATAAAGTCAAGTGTTAAAAGAGATAAATTGTAACCTTGTAATATATTTTTATACAACTATACATATTTTACCTATACCTGTAATTTTAATTTGATAATAACAACAGGAAATAAGACAAGAACTAATAAATATGATGTACATTGTAAAGCTTATTTTCTCACCGCCTTTTAATACCATCTCTTTCGGCATGCCTTTTAGGAAAGCTGCATATTTATTCATAATAACTGGTTTATTTGAAGCAGCTACCGCTTGTGCCTCTCTGACACTGACTTGGGAAAGGGTGATAAGCACTTGCCAATGGGGGTCTGGTACGCCCCAGTTGTTAAAAACTATACGAGCTATTAAAATCTGTAACAAAATTAATAATGATTTACACAGTATAGAAATTTTGGTTATTATGCAAAACAGAACTTTCGGATTCCACTCAACCCTTACCTTTGTCTCCACATCCAATGCAACAGACCGTCCTTTAACGAGAATATGTAGGCATAGTTCTTCCACCAATCCTGAAATGAATTCCGTGGACAAACGGTATATCGTTTGCGGAATTTCTCCTCAGACATGTTAAATGTGATCGTCTTTCTATGCTTTTCTTTTATTTAAAGCCCGTTCTTAGGCCACATCCACCTCATAAACACTTTCCAAAACATTTAAGTAACCGTGGAACATCTTTTATATACGATAAACGTAGTGAAAAGTTACTCTCCATTAACTGCCACACAAACCTTGACCTTGCAAAGGTTAATCTATTCCCCCAAGGTTACATGTGAGGTTAAAATGTCAAAATATTTAGCGCGATACCAATTTGCAACATTTTAGGTTTTGGTTTTACGTTTGACAATTAGCGCGATACCAAATGTGCGTTACGTGTCACACGTCTAAGTTTTGGCTTAGGTTTTTGTTTTGACAGTTAGCGCGATACGAAATGTACACAACGTGTCAGATTGGCGAGGTTGGAGGTTTTGGTTAAACCTTTGACAATTAGCGCGATTGGCCCCCTGATTGCGACGAATGAAATAACGAATGTGATAATAGCCTGGCAAAACAACTTCCAAAATGGCCACCTCAATAGCAAACTCTATGTACAGTTGCATTACATCGATCGGGAAATTCATATGCACCAATCAGAACAAATTAATGAGAAATTAACTGTGTCATTTTTAGTGACCACCGTAATAGTCGCGGTTCTTGGAGTTTTGAGGGTTTTCACCTTTAATATTCTTAACATGCAAGAGTTTTGTTTCGCTTCAGTGATGACCGAAATGTTTGGACTAGGAATTTATATTGATGTGGTTCTATATATTTACATCATATATTACGTTGGGATTAGGGTAACGTATATCAACAGTTTGTTAGAAAATGAATCATTTGCTAGGAACGTCTTTGGGATTTTCGATAAACGTATTTGGATGGTCACTGAGTTCAAGAAATCGGATGGTAGAGTTGGCGGTCAATTGGTTGTCGGGGTGCACAGTATATTACAAGTGCTAAAAGACTTGTTGCAGCTCTACCAAATACCGGTAAGTGGTATCAAACGATATCAGCAAACAATAATTTAATCTCTAATCTAAGTCTAATTGTGGTAAATCCACAATTACTGTGGTAAGACCACAACCTAAGAACTCGATATCCATAATTAGACTTAGATTAGATTAACTCTTCGATATTTTAACCGAATCGTTCGATTGGATATCGTTCTCGAATCGAAGGGCGCTTTCCGAGCTATTCAGAACATTCCGATACGATCCGATATCTTTATCCAAGAGCGTTTACGGAGTTAGTCGGTGAAATAGATTATAAGAAAAATGAAAATCCATTTATATACATTTTTAAGATTTTAAAGGCCTAAAATATAGGAATGCCTTAGTTTTGCATTAAAATAAATTAATAAAATTGAACATAATCCAGACTTTATACAAAATAATAAGAGATTTCCATATTACTTTCTTGCTTAGTAAACAATAGGATGTTCGGTAACTTTCATTCGATAACTGTGTTCTGAATAATCATGAATAATGTTTGTAGCTTTTGCCGGTCGAGAAGTTCGAGTAATCGTACGGGTGTGACGTCATTTCGGTTCGGTTTCGAATACGACAGTTTGACGTTCGATTCGGGTGTTGTGAATAAAAATGAAAAGAAATCGTACCATCGTAATGATGTCAAATCGAATCGGTCGACAATTGAGTTATCGTAAGGTTCTGAATCGATCCACAGGTTAACTATTCATTTCCCCTGTAAAATTATTTTGTTCGGCTATGAGTGTGTGCCTTATTACATATATTATTATATTCAATATTCCTATTAATTAATTTCATAGTTTTCAGGCATGTTATCACAATAGCAAATAAAAAGACAAAAAGTATTTATTCATATACAAAAGGCATAGGTCGGGTATATAATTACCTAATAGTTGGTATTAAGTAATATGGACATGTCCTAGGAGGGCTCGCTATTCTTTGACTCAACTATACTTTTAAGTGCTAAGTAACATTGAGGGTAATGTCAAGAAATGCAAAACTGTTTTAAAGAGACACTATCTTGGTTTGTAGTAATAATATCTACATATAGTATTTCTGTAAATGTAGACATATACTCTAGAATTAATTAATATTATAGTGAATTAAGTTAATTTATGTGTCGAGCTTGTTAGCTCATCGCTAGGTGGTTAAATCACTAAGTTTTTTACCTAGCGATAAAGAATCGTCGTTTTTTATAAAATTTGTTTGAAATTGAATAAATTTAAAAAAAAAGAGAATAAGTATTTAAGTTGACTTACACGTGACTAAAATGAAACAAGTTCATTTGTGTGTGTGAGTGTGTGTCTGTATGTGCGCTTATAGTTTGTTTGAATTCAAACCTTTAGATTTACAGCACTTTTAAAATGTTTGTATTGCAAAGTGTGATTTATTTTTTGTAGTAGTTTCAATGTAACTTAGGACGCCTTGAAATCAGTGGCGTAGCGTTGGGGTGCAAAGTGCTAACTACTCATAATAATTATTGTTTTACTTAAAATTAGAAAATAAATTCCACTATTTGTGAAAACGGACCCAGAACAACACATGGGTGGCGAAGTCGATCCTCCTACTTTTGTGATCGTGAAAATAGAGAGGCAACAAATTTAAGAATGACCCGGGCGGCAGAAATCAACATTACGCCATTGCTTCAAATTAAATAGCCGCGCCACTTCTAAGTCTTACAATATTTCATACATTATTCGTGATACGAGCCACTTTTGCAGTCAACATTAATGAACCCAAAATTACTGAAGCGCTACAGACGCGCGGCTGCCGCGACACTTCAGTGGTCCTACAAGCGTCTAATTTGAAGTTTAACTTGTTTATTTCTACTGTTAATTTTTTTAACACGAATATTAAAATACACAATAAAAACAACTACGAAATAATACATTTTAATATTTATGTGACTTAAACGGCATGGTCAAGTGAACATTTAGCTTGACTTTTTGGATTTTGGACCGTCCTTACCGTAAGCGGCACAGAGTTGAAGGCTTGTTCTCTTGACCCTGTACCACTCCCCGTACACTCCATTCAACGGTAGAAAGTTATTTTTACCTATTACTACTACGTACAGAAAGCTGCTGTCTGCACACACGCAGTGTGTGCGTGAAGTGGTAAGGTATCGATCACTTCTTCGAACCATTTATTTTCTGGTTTAACGTGCACAGTGACTTTGTAAGAGCAAATGAATGTATTGAATACAATACATTATACGTAATAACGTAAGTAATATGAACAAAATAGTAAAACACGAATGTATTGTATACGTGAATAATATGATCGTTACGTATAATACTAATGATTTTATTTATTAAATACTAAAACAACAGTAAATTACACCAGTTAAGTTAAATCAAGTGCAATAAGTAGCTTAAGCAAAGGCCTTTAACATAACAAGTGAACAACACTACCGTAAATTACCTACACTAAAATATTTTATTCTAATAAAACAAAAATCTTTAAATAATATGTTATGAAATCGCATTGACTTACAAATAAAATATGAAATCGCATTATATTCAAAATTCGGAATTTAAACATTAAAATCGTCCTTAGCAAACGACTCGCTGACGACAGTCTCGTTGCCGTTCCGTCAATGTGATCATGTGGCTGTCAATATGAAGGATGCGGTGGGGTATCTAAACCCAGAGAGGGGCGGAGAGTGCCCTTTCCCGTTACTTTTTTATTCTCTGCCTGTACCTAAGTATATATCATCTCGTTTCAGATATTCTTCTACATCGGACAAATATTGTTGAATAATTTATTGGTAATGCAGAGTTTCATTACTATGACCAAAGCACAGGTAAGTTGACGACTACAAACAAGACATCAGCGGTATCGGAAGGAATAAAAGGAATATCCGATTCTATAGTCCTATCGGTCCCGTGTGTTTTCGTTGCCTTTTATTATTTTGTTATTTTTTAAATCTTTTAAATACCTAGGTAATGTTTTATTACCTGGCTACCATTCTATTTAATTTAATAATTCCTTATTTCATTTACTTGGCGGTCCCCAGGCGCCGTTATAGATCAAAAACCACGAATTAATAAACAGATAATTATTATTGTTGACATTTAGAGTTTTACATTTTGTGTCGACGGACTTATTAAATTTTTCATTTAAGTGTTATTAAATATACATTATTTAGGTTTACAAACCTACATACATACATTGGGTGTTATATAATTTTGAAAAGTGATATATGAATTGTAGGTTCCATAGTGTACAATAAGCCGGTTCGTAATGGCGTCGTTCTACTCACTGTTATCTACAACCATTACAATCAATTACAGGTCACAGATGTATCGAATTTCTTTACAATCATTTTCAACCTTCTCTAACCTCCCTTCTGAGTTTATCTATTTACATGCTCACAGGTAATATTGTTTCAGGATTTTAACTTCCAAGCGAGTATATCCTTGCTGCCCGTGTTTTTAGCTGCACTGGTAATAGTAATGTTATGCATATTCACGGCAGCTGTTGAATCCAAATTGGACAAAATGAGACTTTTATGTAATAAAATTTTGTCATCTCAGGTTCAAGGTGACTACGAATTTATTTCTTAGGTTATCACAATTCTTAGACATGGAAACGAAACTATTTTCGGATCTAAATTCAAACGTTGGTTTGTATGAAAATATAAATATACGCAATTTGGATCCGAAAATACAGTCTCATGTCCAATACGAATTTATTATCAAATTTAAAGGATTTACAGAAAATAATTATACAGAAAAAAAGTTATTTACATTCCACTTTTTATGTGGCCTGAGCAATAGGTTATGGCCTAACATTCTTCCCTTAGACTTAGTTGTCAAGATACATTATTATTACAGCAGATCTACATGTATCGATACTTAGATAGCTATGTAGTCGTAAATATACTTAAATTTTAATCAGCCACAATTAAATAATAAATGTTATCCCTAAACATTAAAATCCCATTTGAATATGGATCGTCGTAAAAGCTGACCACTAAGCACAAACTAAATTGCTAAATAACTGTAATAATTAAATAGATATTAAAAATATAGTGGCCTATACTCAAGCTGAACTTTAATTTGATGCCTGATGTGGAGTTTCAGATACTTACTTGCTTACACAAAAATATTCTGTTTGTTAACAAGATTGTTTATTTCTAGGCAAATCAAGATACAATGCGAAAAGGATTCTTACCCTTTTGGAAGCGAAAGGCAACATGACAATATACAACATTTTTGACCTAAACACGCGGTTACCTCTTAATTTGTTAGCAATCACAGCTACTCACGCCATCCTGTTGTTTCAGTTTGCTCTGCTATAAACACTGATCCATCTCATATAGGTGTATATATTATTTTATTTCCTATAAAGCACACACTTATAGCCCCGCACTTGGGAAACTATAGGGAAACCCTGTGTCGCGGGTGCCACGGACACACAACAGACAACCACAAATTACACCCAAACTCAGGACAGAAATAAATGTAGGTCATACAAATATTCGGCACGGGAATCGAACCCGGGAGCTCTGCGCGGCAGACTAGTATGGTAACTGTTCGGCTACGGAGGCAGTTAAATTTAATGTTCTTAATCTAATATAAAATAAATACAATTACAAATTCCAACTCTAGTGAATATCTATCAATGAACATTGGTGACGCTATACATGATTTAAAATTTGAAACCTTCAATGGCTCGTGGAGAGCTGCGGGATAGGTGAGCTCGCAAGTATCTAAAAATGTTAGATTTATAGCGTCATCATAATTGGTCCTTCGAGCTGGAGTGGGATGGGAAAGGAAAAGGAGATGCGAACTCAGACATAAACTATCTGGCGTTACCAAACATATTACAAGATTTCTGAAAGTGTTTTCATGTAGGTAATATGTATAGCCCTATGATTTTTGTATATTCTTGTTTTGTGTATTTTATAAATAATCAGTACATTACCTGTTAGATTCTTAGGTATTTATTGCGTCGCTATATGTGTATTTCATATTAAGCCAGATAATAGCATGACGCATTGAACAACTAATTGAACACCTACATTCCTTCAGAAGTGTTTTTTGTTTAACGATTATTAGGATTCTGAAATTAGGTAGAAGGTTCCGAATGAAATCTAATTGTAATCTTTACTCCTAGATAGTATCTAGTCGAAGTCATTAATTTAATACTTTACTTTCAGCGCCATGCTTTACATTATGTAGTGTTTGATGACACTTACATATACGTACCTATTTCTTTAGACTTTCAAAACCATGTAGGTACATACAAATAACAGCGAAATATAGATGCGTAAATTTATATAATGATTGCAGCAGATTGATTTCCGTATATGTACAAGTATTTAGATAGCTGCGATATAAAAAATAATTTTGTTAAGCACCCATCACCTAATAAAAATAATTTTGTCCGTAAACCCTCAACGATTAAAATCCCATTTCTATGTTTATGGTCGCACACACCGGCCACCAGTAAAATGAAAATTTCAAATAATTCTAATAATTAAATGGGTTTTAGAAGCATGTGGACTTACTAAATCTAAAATTAAATTTATTAGATATCGCCGACAACATTTACATACGCAGAATAGGTAATAGGAAAATAGTTTTGTTCACTATAGTGATCAGAATGTAATAACACTTCAAAATGAACACAATCACAAAGTCCAACACTAGTGAATACCTATCAAAGGACATATTAGAAGAAGATTTTTTAAAAGTGTTTTCATATTTCAATGTAGCTCAAAGGATCTTAGGCTCAAGTCGCGTTTATGCCAGAGACCGTTTCGTATCGCCCCCGACCGTATCTCAAAAATTGTTCACTGTCATATGTGGCATTTTCTTCTCGATCGTATGTTATACTTTTTCTAAATTGTATATCTTACGATATAGGGATTGTCCTTTTGTAGGCTTGTTATTACAGGCCGGTGTAACATTATACATTCTAGTGTTTTTGTGCAATATGATTCACGTGCGGTTTTTAAACAACGAAGCGAACGTGAAATTTTATATTAAGATGCAAGAAATAGATAGGACTACGGGAATTGGACTGCATAAGGTTATGAACAAATTTTTACGTTTTACATACAATACAACAATTTTGTCGTTGGGGGGTGTGATGTGCATATTACTGTTAATGTTCGTGAACTTAGGTTTATTGTTACTTGGTTTTATTTCAACCATGTACTTGTACTTCACTGTCACGTTAGAGACAGTATATTGCATTAATTTATCAGCGTATTTTGTTTCGAGATTACGTTTTATTAACTCGATAATAGCCAACTACATAGACCTAGAACATTTTGTAGGAAAAGTAACATTGTATAATGTAACTAAAAGATCGTCAATTAGGCAATTAGCTGCTCAGACACATGATTTCAGAACTTGTGACGTTGATATTCATTTGAAGGCATTGTTCCAATGTTTTGAGCAATTTCAAAATCTCTACAGATTTCAGGTGAGAAATATAACCAATTTTTTATAATTTTGTATTAATATACAAAGATCGAACACTCATAAAAAATTCCTTCGATCCGACCGGATTCGAACCGACGTCTTCTAGCATACCGTGGCACACGCTATACCAACTAAGCCACGAAACGAATTAGCGGACCTCACGAATTTTTCTATGTGCTTGCGTCGTATCGTAATGTTTGTATTTGGTATTTTCAACGACATTTTAGCCGTTTTAAATTTTTTATATTTTAGTAGTATATCAAAATGCTTTCCTAGGGCTCAGCCCTAGAAAATGATGAGAGTAGCGAGGCTTCTTAATGCCAAAATTTACGAAGTTGCACCATAATTAATTATGTGCATCTTTAAGTAGTTGTGTGTCGTTTCATTGTTGACGTGTTGTATGTAGTTTTTGTATAATTTACAGGTCCTGTTATCTCTCATCAACTACATTCTAACAATAATAATTGTGGTCGAGTTCATTACTATAGGTCTGCAAAGTGGCGTGAGTAAAATATGTTCACTTCTGTTCTAAAGTAAATAAAAGAAAAATTCGACAACATGCTTTCTAATATATTATTTCTATTTGTACGTATTAGACTTTAATATTATTTTACTATCTTTACAATAGGGTCCGTTCGTTATGCTCCCTGTTTTTTTGTGCCTCCGTTTTGTACGCACTTGATTAAAACAAATTTTAAATAAATTGAAATGAAAACTTTTGGTGTAGTGCTTGTTGTTATTGGATTTATGAATGAATTATAGTAATAAGGTGGGTCCCTGAAGTGACAATAATTTTGTGCTGATAAACAATAACGATTATTTGTCAGCATTCAATTATTTTCACAAAGACTAATATTACATCAACAACATAATCAACCCATTTATACGTCTTACTGCTAGGCACGGGTCTTCTATCAGGCGAAGGTTTAGACCAGGGGTTCCCAACCTTATTTTGTCTACTGCCCACTTTGAGAATAAATTATTTTTTGGCGCCCCCATTTTTTCACCTACTTAAAAACCACTATAACTTCAAATTAAATTAATTATTGAGAGCTATATTAGCGGATATTAAACATTCATTATAAACGAGACTTTTACTATAACCCGCAAGAGTTAACTTGAGACCTGAGCGCAGTAGGTTAGGTTAAGTTAACTCTTACGTGCTACACCTGCCAATGAGAATGATTATTGAAACGCAACTTTATAGTATTCAGGCAGAGTATTTTTTATTCAAAATAAAACAAACATAATTAATTGATTCTAATATAAAAACTAATGTGAACGATGAATCTGATGCTGTTTAATAAGTTTGTTGATATTAGGTACCAATTTACTCAAGAACAGCCGTAAGTCACCACGTTCGGTAACATACAAACGATTTATCTTTTTAGTAAGCAGCGTTGCCACAGCACTAAAACCACGTTCATATAAATATGACGATGGGAATGCTACCAAGAACCGTTGAATGATTGACCACAATCCAGGGTACAATTGCGGGATCGGTTTTTGTAGACAAAATTCTTGGTAGCCATTTTTGAACTTGATTTTTATTTCCTCGTTCGTTGTCAATTCTATAAGTTTTTCTTCAAGCTGAGGTGATATTGCTGTGTTGACATTTTAAAATGGATCCAACATCCAGGCTGGTATTTCCAAGTTCAAAATGTGAATATGAAGTAAATGTGGAGGTTTTCCAAACGTTGGCAGTAGGCAAACAAGTCGTCGTTACTGCAGGATACTGATAAATTCGGAAAGTTGTGTGTGTGTGAGTCTGCCCATATTTTTTTGTGTAGAAGCAGTTTGACTGCGAAAGCAGTGACGACATTTTTTGTTTTTATTAAATTTAGTTCATCGCCTTGCAGTTGGAGATTCATGTCGTTGAACAATTTATACAGGTCTGTCATGTAAGTAAGCTATATCATTCTTTGATGTAATGAGCTTGTTGCGCAATTCTTTATCTTTAGTTTCCAAGAACTCTATCACATAGTCAAACAGGTTGTAAAATCGAATCAAACAATTGCCTCGTGATAGCCAACGAACTTCAGTATGAAACTACAAACGGTTGAATCTTCGTCATTAGAAACACAAAGCTGATGAAATAATCTATCAATCAAAGAGCTGTTACGGTTTTTACTGCTTTGGAGATATATTGCAGTGATTGAAAAAGTCGTTCACTTAAATTTCTAGCAACCAAATGTTGTCTATGAATAACGCAATGTACAGCAAGGACATCTGGAATTTTATTTTTTAAGTACGCTATGAAGCCTTTGTGGCACCCTGTCATAGCCAGAGTGCCATCCGTAGCAACTGATGTAATATTTTTCAAGGGAATCTCTTTCTCATCACATAACTTTTCCAATGTATTGAATATGGTTTCGCCTTTTGTATCGGTCTCTAAATTTCTAGCAAACAAATAGTTTCTCACATATCCATATATCCACTTGACTCCATCCAACGTCGGGCTGTTCGAATTGTCGACGACCCTATGCTTACAGACGGTTTAGAGCCCCTTAGTTTGCGGAGAGATGTTGGCTCTCTATGTGTGTTCTACCGTCTGTATAACGGGGAGTGCTCAGACGAACTCTTTGAGTTGGTGCCTCCGTCACTCTTTTACCACTGTACGACCCGCCGAAGGAGAAGACTCCATCCCCACTTCCTCGATGCTTGGCACGTCACGACCACTCGAGCATCTCGTTCGTTCCTTCCCCGAACCAGTAAGATGTGGAATGGCCTTCCTCCTGAAGTGTTCCCCTTGCGCTATAACATGGAGTTCTTCAAAAGACGTGTAAACAAGGTTCTCCGGAGTCGGCAACGCATGGGTGATGCCTCTGGTATTGCTCGTGTCCATGGGCGACAATGACCACCTCCCATCAAGTGGCTTGTCTGCTCGTTTGCCTACTAACATAAAAAAAAAAAACATATTTTCTCATTTTTAATAAACCTGACGTAAGACAGCAACAATGCTTCATTAGTTGGTAAAGTGGACTTATCGAGCTGAATTGAGAATTGACTAGTCCTCAGATGATTGCACAATGATTCTTTAATGTTTTCAGCCATTTCATAAATTCGTCTTTGCACAGAATTGTTACTCAAAGGAATTTTTCGGATAATACCTGCGACCGGTTTATGAAGCACAGTACTATCCTGGACGAACTCTTTCATAGTGTGCTCTACTGCGATGTTTTCATTGACAGAAAAACTCACAGGAAATTTCAAAATTAATTCCGTAAAATTTCAGAGGCCCGAGCCCGGATTCGAACTCACCACCAACCAAATCATTAGGCTATCACGGCTATTATTACATACCTATCAGTGTTTTATTATTTTAGTGAAAGCATTTTTGACTGTTTTTTATAATATCAAGGTAAGAGACTCACAAGTTTTGCGTTTGATGGTAAGCTACACGCCTGTCCATGTTCATAACATTGCAGTTCGGTGCGAGTTCGGAAACGGACGCGTCCAATACGCAGTGAGAGTTATTATAATTCGAGTTTCGCGCGGCATAGGCCGCTGCGCGTAAGTGGCACTGGGTTCCCAACAACTCATAGCCAATGAGCTTTTGGCTATGAGTCTATTCAACACGCCATCGATACCATGGACGATGTCAGCATCGTGCAGATCTGAACGAGGATGAGATTTGCAATGGCAAGACGCTGTTGTTCGAGAGCCTCGACAAAGCTGAGCAGATGCAATCTCGCCGGAGGGATGGAGGCGTGAAGAGTCTCCAGGATGTTATCACACTCCTGAAGGCGACTGACCCGGACGACGTGCCTACATTCGTAGCGAACGAGCTGCACAAACTGCCCCCCGCCCTGCCCATCGTCCCCGTTCGACCACGTCGATGTTACCAGGCTGCTGAAGGATATCACTTCTCTGAAGTCAAGCCTGGCCGAGTTGCAGTGTAGATTGGATGCTTCAGATTCAGTGAGCTGCGTACCCAAGTTGCGTTATTAAGCAACGCTGCTTCGGTATGTAGGTCACCAGAAGTCTCTAATGTAAACACGTGTCGTCGGGCGCAAAATGCATCCATCAGCAATGTTGAGTCCGGCACAAATGGTTGCGTCAGCGATCGCTCTTGCCGGAGCGCGTAATGCGCTGCGCCCTGCTGCCCGCGCCTCCGTCCCGGCGGAAACGTCACCCGTATGCATGTCAGCCCCTGCACGTGTATACTCCGCTGTAGCCGCTTCTACCAGCCGACTCGCCACTTCAAAACTCGAGAGACCGCCATCGGCTAAGAGTAAAAGTAATCCTCGTGTGCCTGTCTCCGAACTTGCAAAACCACAGAAGCAGACGGTTTAATGCGACGAGGACGGCTTCACAAAGGTGGTAAAGAGGAAGAGGAAGCACACCAGCCGTAACCTCTGTGGCACAGCACCGACAGGATCGTACTTTTTGCTCCGTTCGGCAATACCGCCGACGCTGCTGTACCTGTTGCGACTACGTTACTTCACGAAGTCTGACGACATAGTGGAGTACATCAGGCTAAAAGTCAAATACACCCTGAGGGTTGAGCGGTTTGAGTCCCGCCACAACGTAAATTTTAATTTGTTTGTGGTGACAGTGCCGACCGAACATCTGTCGGCCTTCATGAAGGAAGAGTTTTGGCCGAACGGGTGTCATATATCGGCGATTCCGCGGCCGGTTACCTGACACCTTGCGCCACACGTCGCCGACAAGTGCAATACGTGTAGGTTAGTTGATGGCTTATTTTATTGTCATGTTATATTATATATATGTTAGTCCTTAAGGTATATATTATATGGGTCATGTGGCCTGAAATAAATGTCTAAATAAATAAATAACAGTTGCAGTGCCACTCCGCTCTTTAAATCACAAAGATCTGAGGCACACTGCCACTGCGCCCGTCACCCTGAGACATAAGTTGACAAGGCCTATGTGCCTGTAATTTCTCCAGCACCCTTCAAAACCGGAACACAGTAATGCTGACATTACTGCTTGGCGGCTGAAATTTTTGTCTCCGGTAGAAGTAAGTGCCGCCGCATTAAATATAACTTCGAATTAGGTACACTTATTCTCTAACCTGAATCAATGCGTACAAAAAGGGGGCATAAGGTAGTCACCACACTTATCGACATGAAATAGTATAGCCGCCGGTGAGAAAAAGCTTTCTGTTCATGTAATGTAAGAGCGGAAAAGACATGACGAAACCGGCAGGGTAACAAACGGTTCCTTCATAAATATGTGTCTGAAAATCTACAATATTACATTGCAGGTGATAACGTTGCGTGATTGTGTTTTGAATTTTGCTTTTATAATAATTGGCACTATTCAAGCTGCATTACTCTGCTTTCGACTGGAAATATTTTTCAGAGAAGTTAAAGAAACCAAAAGTTTATGTATACGCATTATGTCACTTTCCTTCAATGGTAAGTTCGACTTATTTATATATACTTTGTACAAGCTACCTACGTTACATTTTCACAATGAAATTTACCAATATTTTACTGCTGGTAGACTCAGTTTCTTATAATAAGTATTTAATTGTATTGGAAGAAAAGCATTGGGACTGCAAAAGTTGATCAAATTTAATAAAATGTCAGAATTTATGCGAAATTTAATTTGAAATTTACCGTCAGCTTTTCAGTGAAGGAATACATCGTGTTTAAACCTGCACATCGAAGGAGGTTCACAACCTTCGGAAAACGTGTGAAGTCCCCAATCCGCACTGGGCCATTGTGGCGGAGGGACTATGGCATAAACCGTCGCCGGAGAGGATGCCCGTGCCCAGCAGCGGGACGTATGGGTTGATGTTGAATTAATTACTCTTGATGTCTTTGTCGCTTTATTTGTTGCAGGACCTATAAGGCACAAAGCCAAAATGACGCTGAAAATGATCGAAGAAAGCACACCCAGTTTCAAGGTATACGACATAATGGAAATAAATGCTGAAAGCATGCTAAAACTAACCAGTTTTGTGACCTTTCTTGTCGTTACTTTATTGCAGTTCGCATTCTTATAATTTTTAAGTTCCGGATATTCTTTAATCATGAGTAGATTAAGTATCTTCGTCCTTAGGTAGATAATTTCTTCATAGAAATACGCAAGTGTCTTTCATAATCTTTGATTTGTAAGAATACAGCGCAGTCTCTTTAATTATTTTATCTTAATTCCTAACATAAAATAAGAGTATTATTTATTATTGTGAATGTTATTATCGTTATTTATAAGATAAACTTATTTAAGTCACGTCTTGTAACTTATTAACTGTAACATATGATAAGTTTCAAATGTACGTTGTACATACATGTACTTAATGTAGTGTGTATTTGTAACATAAATAAACTAATTAATATCAAACGCATTTCGAATTAGTAACTATTCTTTCATCTCAGATATAATATTTTTATATCTATTGTATATATCTTATCAGATAAACCTAATAAATATTTAAACACATTTATCTCCAATTTTTTATGCCTTTCTTTCTTGCTAAAGCCGGGATTTCATTGAATAAACAAATAAATTGTAGGTATTGTAATATTTCAACCAATAATTTAATTTACAAAACAACAATGATTTAATTATGAAAAAGAAATAAAGTTCTTGAAACTTTTCAGCTCTATACTTTTTATATAGGTTTTGTGCATAAAATTACCAGAGGTATCCGAATAATTATTTATAGGTCGAATATTAGAAAGTCAATAGCATCAGTATTTTTGTGTTCCAATATCTAATAACAAAGCTCTTGTCAACATTAAATACGTTGAATGCAGGAAATCGTGGCTATTCATATGTATTTTAGAAAGAAAGAGGGAAAGTGAAAATAATTATTTGGTCATACCTACTAACATATGAAAGATACTACTGGGTGAAATTAACAAATGAATTTTATTGTAAGTTTTGGTGGCGCAATTTTTTTTACATTTTCCAGTATCCGAGATTCGTTTGCAATAAAATGAAATATTTCTTTTATATATAACAGATGATAGGCCATAACAATTTTCATTAATTTCTGAGATATAAGCAATTCAAAATTTTTGTCGTCACCAAAACTTAGAAACGCCACCAAAACGTTTATCAGTTGCACCACAATTGAATATTGCCACAAAAGTTGGAATATATGTAAAAACAAAGACAATTAAGTTAATTTAATTATGTGTTTTAATTTTTAAGTGTAATTAATCGCATTTTACCTTGTAACAATCTACCATATTAAAACTATTAATAACGTACACACTCATCGCGGGTGTCATGAGCACACACATAGGTAACCACAAATTCATCAGAGAAATAAATGTAGGCCATAACTAGTATTTTTTTGAAATAAATCAAACATTGCCAAACAATTCTGTAAAAAAATTAATTAATTTAGTAACTAAACCTATTCATTTTATAAACTTAGTGGACCTGCAATTTTTTATTAGATGAATTGACTTTAAAACAAAATGCAATAAGTACATAAATGTTTGTAAATAAAAATGATATAATTCAACATCATCATGCAGAGCAGTTGTTTCAGGTTTTGTTTCTAAATGTGACATCTTTTTGATCTTCATCTTCGTGACATAGTGAAGTATCTCTAGAGTTATAGAAAATGAAACGATTTTTCCGGATTTATATCGCGTATATTTGTTTTTTCAAGCAAACCAACATTCGGGCCCTTTACAGGTCCTATGATCACGGTTGACCATGGGACATGAGGTTGAGAAATGAAAAACATGGAAAAATAGTTTCATTTCCTATGTGTAACAATCGCGAAAACCTAAGAACTCAATATATCTCTGGACTTTTCAAACTTAGAATATGTATTGTTATTGATAATTCGAGTTTGTATCATATTGCCTTTTTTATGAATCTATATTCAATACGCCTATAGGAGATAGAATAAAGTTTTGTTTGAGATTTTGTTGTTGTCTTTGGACTTGATAAAAATTTGTTTGCCCCTTTAAAACGATTTGTTTGCCCCTTTAAAACGACGCTCAGTTGGAACTTTCTTTTGCTGTAATTTTTTCATTTTATAATAACATGTGACGGGACAAACGAGTCGTGCCTCTGATGGTAAGCTACACGCCTGTCCATAACAGCAGCAGTGCCACTCATAGCTTTAAATAAGCAAATATCTGAGGAGCACTGCCTCTGCGCCCGCCTGAGACATAAGTTGGCAAGTCCCATGTGCCTGTAACTTCACCAGCACCCTTACAAGGGTAACCGGACCGGACCGAACCTAACCGGAACGTAATGCTAATCGTGCGTTTGTATCGATGCAGTCGCGTGTTTGTATTGCATTTGCATCGCTGTTAAAAGTCGCCACGTATAACTGCTCTAAATCGCAAAGATCTGAGGGGCACTGCCACTGCGCCTGTCACCCTGAAACATAAGTTGACAAGTCCCATGAGCCTGTAATTTCCCGGCACCCCTTATCCTTCAAGACTGAAACACAGTAACGCTTACATCACTGTTTGGTGGCAGAAACAGGTAAGATGGCAGTTCTTCCCTGGATTATCAGGGAATGAGTTCATGGTTGCCGTCTCTACGAATGTTTCCTAAAGATAAATTGTAGAAATCCAAATGTTTACCATGAGGACATATAGTGGGTTTGTCCGGACATTGAGACTTAATGCTAGATAAGACGTATAGTAGTAATTTAGAGTTATTACTTCTCAAAATAACCTGAAGAAAATTCATGTTACTGAGAAAAGGCTTCAAATACTAAAGAATGAGCCAGTCTTTATGTATAAAAAAGTTTTATTGAATGACAGGATGTTTCATCACAATGATATTCAATTATTTTTTGTGTAATTACTCCTACCAGTTTCTTATAATTGTATTAAGTGTTATTTCTTCAGGTTATTTGCAAAAAAGTAACAACTCTAAATTAACACTCTGTACCTTCATTTACATCAAGCCTCAATGTCTGGATAAACCCATCGCATGTCCTCATGACCACCGCATGTCATCACGGCATGTAAATATTTGAGTTTCTACAATTTATCTTTAGAAAACATTCCTGGAGATAGAGTAGTGTATCGTAGTTATTCGACTGCCAATGAAAACAACAATAAACTATTTTTTCGTGTTTGACATTCTGAACGAAATTGATTAAATGATATCACCTTTAATTTAACTAAAATACAATTTAAAAGATCTCTAAGGTACAAATAGATCAAAGAGTAATTAAGTAATTTTACGTTATCTGAAAATTAATGAATAACACTATCTTTCTTAAGTTTATTGGGATAATTAAAACATGAGTAATACCTACTTTAAAACAATTTTCGAAAGGGAACGTTATATTCAAAAATATCATGACAATTTAAAATTTGGTGGCGTTTTTAAGTTAAGGTAGTAACATAAACGCCACCAAAACCACCAAATTTGAGCCACATAAGATGATATTGAAGCTTAAAAATCAAACCGAGATGATTAAATTGTGATAAAATAATGACAAAATTAGTCTCTTAATTTGGTTTCAGAACACGACCTTAGAATAACACAAAAATTGAGCCCAAATGGAGCCAGAAAAACTGAATATTTTTTGTCGCACGTGCCACCAAAGGGTGTATAATTACGCTTTTTGGTGGGAGGAACACAGTGCCAATGTTTTTAGCTGTCAGGTCCCAATACACGACTGAGGCTTGCGCGGGGCAAGCACGTAATGGTTTTTAGTTAAACTACTTACCAGTTCCAACCAATTGAATATTTGCCATCAAAATTACAATTTTCGCGTGGACAAAGTTTGATCAAGTACCCAGTCTCTCACAAACTGGTAATTGCAATACTTTCAATGATTTTAGTTAGTGTTTCTAATAGTGACTAGTATACATGGAATTGTTTTTCATAAAAGCGTACACATTTTACTAGACCGACTATTTTATACAATGAAACAGAATTTGGACATATCAGCAAAATTGAAAATCGGGACATTAATATTTTTTATTAATTATTATTGTATAATAAATATTCTGAAATTCTTGCCCTGAACTCATTTTATGTCTAATTAAAGTATAAAAAAGAAATTATTAATATTTCTTCACTTTGGGGGAGGCCTATGTTCAGCAGTGGACGTCTTCCGGCTGATATGATGATGATGATGATGATTCTTCACTTTACATCAGGATTCTCAGCTTGGACACGCAAAATTTACACATAAGATATTCGCCTTACTAATGATTACAAAATATTGTGACAACAATTGACGCGTTGAGTGTACAATCTGTCGATATTGCCAATCATTATACTAACATTTATTGTAAGAAATATTTAATAAACATTTTTAGTAAAAAGACAAAATACTACTTCAGCTAGTGTATTCGATGTTCTTCAAACAAGCAAATACCATCGACATACATAAATGTATATCGATAAAGAAAAAGAAGGCTCTCAGGGCTTGAACTGTATACGTGTACTGGATATAAAGTTAATTAGAGATCGAATTACCGCCGCCACGGTCAAACTTATGAACACTGGTGTTCTAACAGGAAAATACCTCAATGAATTAAAAGTAGGAATGGTTAGGTCCATTTTCAATATGAACAATGATTAATAGATTACGAATCTACCGACTATTCTTCTTTTTCTTCTTATCGTATCGATGGCATACATTATATCATTCTGGCCCAGAACTTACCTACCAGTGCGTGGCGTCCACACAATTCGATTCCCACCTTGCTTGCTTGCTTAAAATTTTCCACGTATTATCAAAAGACTGTACTAGACAGCGCGCGTACCCTACCGCTTAAAAAACTTATAAGTATTAAAAATTATTTCCTATTTATGAAATGATGTATCTTGTGTGCTAATTAGTGTCGTATTCCAGAACTCTACTGCTCAAGTCAGGACTTCAGTATGATTTAAAGCACTAGAAATCATACTCAAGTCCTTGCCTTTAGGGTCGTATTTCCAGTACTTGAAATCATACTCAAGTCCTGACTTGAGCAATGAGTAGAGTTCTGGAATACGACCCTCAGTTTGGAGACTAATAAATAGAAAATAAATATATTTTTTTCATTTATTACAAAT